TCGATTATATCATAGACGGGTTCATCTGTTCAATGATCTCCTCGCCGGTCTTAGGGTCGATACCGTGTATATTGACATACTTCACCGTTGGGATTGGATTCCACTTATGCTCTTGGGCATAGACATATATACGATACACTACGAGCTGTTTACCACGCTTGAAGGCAGTAGCCCGATATTTACCATCCTTCCCCTTGATGACCGTCAATGGGAGCGACTTCACTGCATGGAGAGTGAGCAGGAATGTACTGAGATGAAGTTTACTTTGAATTTTCTCAATAAGGCTGTTATTACTCGTCATCCGTACCGAGATGGTTGAGACCAGTACTCCTGAGGGCCTCATCGGACTTATCCATCTGTTTCGAGTAACAACCATAGGCCAACTTGCTCTCGAAAAAGCCCAGTTCTTTGTGGAGCTTCTCTGGATCGGCGACTTCCGGATGATCGCTGAATCTCACCCAAAAACCATGAACCGACTCGTGCTGAAAAATACAATTTCGTAGCGTGAAATTTCTCGCACACTACTACCTGGTCACGAACGCCGTTCTCATCGAATTTCATCCTGTAGGCCACAGTGTTATCATTCTTGTTACGAGTTATGATAATGAGAGTAGTTGGATCGTTGAATATAGCAGCCTACCAATATTATTCATACCACACCTCCAACACATCGTCCTTACCTGTTTCTCGAGCAGCAGCGGTGAGCCCTCCTGGTCTGCTGCGGGAATGTGATTAAACGGCCCTACAGGAATGCTCGAGTCATAATCGCCGAGACTCCTCACTTGTGGAGACACCATAACAGATTGGGTCACAAAATCTACACGCATCAGTTCAAGTCGAGCGTGCACAGTCTAGGAACGATATTGGTAGTCTATTACAATCCAAACGCGCCACGAAATTACGCGCTCGCCCAAAAATGCACCGTCGTCCTAGGAGGTTTTCATTTAGTGTTAGATATCATGTTCTATGCTACATGGGATCGTGTCATAGGCCTCTATACCACACTGGTGTTGGGAGGACTAGTACTACTGGCACCTTACTCCAAGGTCGAGGAGAGCTTTAACACGCAGGTAGGGTAAACGCTTCTGGGAGAATACTGGTAGGGTAGTCTTTAGGCTGTGCACGACTTCCTCTACCACACTACTGACCTGGAGGCCTATGACCATTTGGAGTTCCCCGGTGTAGTACCACGGACGTTTTTAGGTGGGTAAAACTGCCCGTCATCGATAATAAATCCCTCAGGCTCGTTTGTCGTAGCAGTAGCGTCATGGCCAACTGTACGGTTGATAGACTACGTTTTTGGGCCTTTTGAAGACAACAGGATCCTTTCGTTGTAATAGGCCTCTCATGCTGTTCATAACGCTGGGATTACACCAAGCTAGTGAGCCTCATACCATCGTCGTGTAGGTACATAGTGCGAGGGACTATGGCAGTGATAGCAACAGCAGTGTTGAGCCGATTGAGGAATGCATGTCCGCCAGCTACCAAGCCGATCCTACCAGTAGTATTACCTTTGAAGGCTTCCTTTTCATCGGTCTGCTTTCAGCTCCTGTTAACACTCTGTATCACCACCTGTTTTCATCTATCCTACTATTATACGAGGTTACTACCAAACTCTTTTGGCCTTATACTCAGTGATGAAGTGTCAGCCTGGAAACCAACATAGAGTTACCCTAGGTACTTATAGCCTGGCGTTGTATTTGGAGGGGAAGCTGCTCACATCAGTGGAAATCATGGTAGCGCTATATGCTCCTTTATAGGTGTTTTGGTGGGTTTTTTACTACACAGACATTCACAGCATTGGTATTCCGTTGTGACCTCCTAGCAGTAGCACTAGCACTGGCTCTTGAGGTCATCGTACGTGAGGCTATAGAGCACAGGAAGGCTAGGACGGTAGGTTGGGAACCACTGTGTTGTGAGAGTCTCTCATGTGTAGTTGGTGACGTCAGTGGTAGTAGTAGCGTTGAGTGGACTGAAGGCAGCTATGTGTGGCATAGTATTGTCGATCCCTCTGGACTCTCTGGTGAGCAGGCTTAGTGATTTCAGTAGTAGAGGAGGTGGCGGTGTTAGATGTGGCAACGTGGGGTGTTGTGGCCTGAGGGATGGGTGTTTTGGTTCAATGCAGTGGAGAATAAGTCCTACCTCTGGGGAACGCAACCGTGGCATTGGTATATCACCAATGCTACTATACGGGTACAACTCGATACTGATCGATTACGACGACAATCGTCAGGGGCTTGGACCACTACTTTTGTTAATACCACTAGCAGTCATCCGACCACCTGTAGGGTTCGTGGATAAAGGAGTGAGTTGGGGTGGTATCGTGCGTTGACTTTTCCTATCACGGGAGTTGGACATGAACGGGTGGTGATGCGTAATTCGAATAAACCGTCAGTAGCAGGCTATTGGGTTAATTTCGGTGATGAATTTCCCCCCCTCTCTGTGGGCAGTTTTTTTGTAACCCTCATACGTATGTATCGAATTGACATAGATACGCATCGTACCGCTTTTTATGGTATGGTATGTGGCACCGATAATGATGATGTCTCTAATACCACATAAGGAGATAAGGTTTATTTTCCCTAGCCTCTTGGCACTGACAATAGTGGCGGCTTGTGGAGCTCATCGGTGGGACGATGATTATCATCATAATCGATCATCGGGGCGAGCGCGGTTGTCATTAAGTAGGTTATCGCAGTATCTTTCTTCCGTGGCAAGGCGATATGGACCTGAGGCGTATAACTCAATGACGGGGAGAATGATGGCGTCCATGACTAAGAACCGTGTGCTCAGGATCTGTGTACTCCGTAGTGGACTCGTTGGGATTGCAGTTGTTACAGTGAGATGGGGAGGGGGGTGGGCTGGCATGCGAAGGGTCGTGGGTTCAACACTCATATATTGTGTTTTACTGAATATGTGAACACCGGGGTCCGGCGCCTTCCGAGACCTTCTCGATGAAATGTCAAGGCGCGAGAGTGCCAGAGTTGGTAAACATGATCGCTTTCCTCGGCTGAGCTCAAGAGTTTCCTCGACTATATAGAAGTTTGCGAACGAACTCAGGGAGAAGTGTTCAGAAACTAATACGAATTCTACGGAATTCCCTCGGAATTTCCATATTGTCACCAGCACATGTGGTTGACCATATGCATATTTTCCAACACCAGTAAGCATCAGACGGTTCTCCTAAGGTCGGTCTCTTCTGGGCTCGAACGGTGGCTTCGGTATACAACTATCCCAGCGGTTACGC